CGGAAGACAGGCGGAGTTTCCGGGCGCGATCTCACCAGCACATCTGGGAAGCGTAGCACTCCCGTGGCTCAACCGAGGCTTCCCGCCAAAACTGCGTGGCAAAAAACTAGTACCTCGGAGGTACTAGTTTCCGGAAACTGCGGGGCAAGGGCGGGCATCTGATCGCGTTTCCGGTGGCATCCGGCCCCCGCCCATGTCCCCTTGCAAATAAGGTGTTGTTTTTTTGTCCAAGTCTCTGTGGATGCGCACACGCACCCAACAGAGCATGCGCATTCCTCGGGTACACACACAAAAAAACCAGTTTGCCGCGGCGCGCGCTTCTTCGTTGCGTGCCGCCTTGTCCTGTGATCGGCACCTCTCCCTTCCCATGGAACCTCCACGGTACCTCCACAGGACCTAAACGGGAGGTCTGATCGCGTAACCCCGCGGTAGTTTGCCCCAGGGCAAACAGCCACACTTCTCCCCCGCAGTTTCCTGCCCGTGTGACCGGGGCCATAAGTTATTTAATGGAAAAAGATATTCTTCCAAGGAACACTCTGTATCATAATATGATCAATTTTTAAACAAAGTTTATTGTGAATTGTTTGATGTATATGTTGGTTATGTTGTAAACTAAAAATTATAAATAAATAATTTAAAAAAAGAACGCAAGGCTGCCGCTGAAAATGACAGCCCCCCCCCCCCCGTCACTCACCTTCCCCTTTCCATACCATGCAGTCATGGAAACAGAGAATATGTCTTGTCCTGTCCCCTGGCCCACATCATTTGCTATCTGGGATGGGGGGCAGCATGCATGATGATACCATTTTATGTCTTTCTGTGTGCTGTGATATGGGGCTGTCATTTTTAGTGGCAGCCCTGCGTTTTTTGTCATGTCTAGTCCCACTTCCAGCCTAAGCCATCGTTGCAAGTCGTGAAGCGCCCCAACAGTTTGCACAGAATCCCTGAGCTCTCCATGCAGGTACATGGCATTATGGGATATGAACACTTGTATACAAGTTTCTCTCTCATCAGCAACTGGAAACAAACAAAAACACAGTGTTGCCTCTGGGTCAGTTCTGCCAAACAGGTTGTGATGGTTTCAGAAACCGAGCTGAAGTTTCTACTTACCTGAACCTACAGTTATCATCTGAAACCCTGCTTCGGGTGCCTCTGCCTTCTGAGATTAAACAGGAGAGGGCCTTCTTGGTCATGGCACCAAAACACTGGAATTCTCTCCACCAAAACTCTGGAATTCTCTCCAAAGAAAGACCCGCCTGTCCCCATCTATTGCTGTCTTCCATTTCATCTGGCATTCCCTCCGTGATCCCTCCCTCCATATCTATATTTTTTTCATTTTTATGTTTTTGTATGTGTTTTTTTAATGCTTGGTTTTAATTGTTTTAATGATGTGTGTGGGGGGTGTTTCAACGTTTTTTTAGATGCTTTTTTATGATGTATGTTATCAATCTGTTAACTGCCTTGGTGGCGCTGATAAGGGCAGAAAGGCAGGGTACAAATTTTGAAAACAATGTAAAAAAAACTAGTTACCTCGTCAACTAAAAAGCGAATCTTTTCAATGAAACCCTCTGTCTCGCGCATCATTTCATCAAGGAGAATCTTCTTCTTTTGCTGCTGCATGATCCCCTTGGCATCCTTGGCCATCGCTTCCTACAGTGACCGAGAGACAATCAATGAAACTTTTTGCACGCCATATGCATTTCATGCTATCTAGCGAGACATACCAGGAGAACCAGCCAGAAGAATATAGGGGCTATGTCGACTGCATCTCTCCAGAAATGTTGTTTCTTCCTCTCTCACATTAACTTGTCAGAAGAGAACCTTTAGAGAAGATGTCTCCTGCTCCTCGCATATTATCAGCAGATAAATATCCAAGTAGACAATGTCCCATCGCTTGCAAGCAGCCCCATTTCTTTCATTTCATCGGCACTCATCATCACACCCTCGATCCTGCACAAACTTGCAGTTCTCATGGAATTCTGTAGCCTTTTTCATAGTCTCTGAACCTTTCTGCCCCATTTTTAATATCCCGCAGTACTACTGTTTATGGCTCTATTCCATGTCTGCCCCAGGTCCTGTTGACTAGACAGGTCCCAAGAGTTACATGTTGAAGTTTAATTTCCACATGCAGAGGGGACTGATTCATATCAGGACAGCCAATGTGGGGAGAGGGGTGCTTCAGCGTTCCCCCCACTTAAGCCTTTCTAACCTCAAACATTACTAGAGAACTGCAGTTTGCCAGCTGGGAAAACTGAGTAGCTCATGAGTACTTGTTAGTTTCTTCAAGTAGTGACATCTCAAAGCTGTTTCAGATCGGGAAAATGGTCTGAGGGGAAGCATGGCCTGATCTGAATTGGGCCTCATGCACCTGAGACGTAAGTTTCAACATGGAACTTACAAGGCTTATCTGGTCAACAGGACCTGGTTAGGGTGGACACAATACGGGCCCATAAACATTGCATTGTATGGTTAGGCCATGAATATTGCAGAGGAACATTGGTGATGAAAAGTGCTGTCAAAAGGCAGCTAATAATTATAATTATATAGTAATAATTATTATTATCATATTTATTTTATTTATTTATTGTACAACAATACAAAGTGCTCAAGATGTTTCAAGAAAGTCTTCAATAACAAGATGGCTTCCTGGGGATAGCAGTCCCAGTTCAGTTGTATCAGATCCACGCAGCGCTGCAGTTGGCAGTGTGAGTAGTATAGCCAGGAGATCCTAGGATTATCTGGCAGCCACAAGCTCTATCTGTTTTAGCATTATGCACCACTAGGTGTAGAGCGAGTTTGGTGTAGTGGTTAAGAGCAGCGGACTCTAATCTGGAGAACCGGGATTGATTCCCAAGTCCTCCACACGCAGTTTCTGGGTGACCTTGGGTCAGTCAAAGTTCTCTGAAAGCTGTTCTCTCAAGAGCAGTTCTCTCAGAGCTCTCAGCTCCACCTACCGCACAGGGTGTCTGTTGTGGGGAGAGGAAGAGAAGGAGATTGTAAACCACTCTGAGACTCAGAGTGAAGGACAGGGTATAAATCCCATCTCTTCTTCTCTTCTTCTTCTTCTAGGTGCTGAGCTAGATGTGTTTTTAAGGCAAGAGACGTTTCAGAGGTGCTTTGCCATTGCCTGCATCTGTGTCATGACCCTGGTACTTCTTTGAGGTCACCCATCCAAAGACTAGCCAAGTAGCCGATCCTGCTTAGTTTCTGAGATCTGATGGGATCAGGCTATCTTGGCTATCCAGGTCAAGGTAAAGAGGCAGTTGACTTATGGTTACCCTGTAGGGTTTTCAAGGCAAGAGACAAACCAAGGTGGTTTGCCATTGCCTGCCCCTGCACGGCAGCCCTGGACTTCCTTGGTGGTCTTTCATCCAAGTCTTAGCCGGGGCTGACCCTGCTTAGCTCCCAAGATCTGACAAGATGGGGCTAGCCTGGGCCATCCAGGGCAGGGCAGAGGGAGATCGACAAGATGTCTTCCAAGGAAGTGGTCTGCCATGACCGGTTTTCTCATTAACCCCTGAGAAACACACGAGGACCCTCAGAGAGCCTCAGATCACCACTGGACAATCACAGCTGTGGAGCAGAATGGATTGTCCATTCCGTGGTGGATGCTCCTTCACTGGACGTTTTCAAGCGGAGGCTGGACAACCATCTTTCGGATATGTTGTAGGTATGTAGGTATGTAGGGCTCTTGAGAGTCCCTTGGACTGCAAGAAGATCAAATCAGTCAATCCTAAAAGAAATCAACCCCGGCAGTTCCCTGGAAGGCCAGATAATGAAACTGAAGCTCAAATACTTTGCCCACCCAATGAGAAGGGAGCACTCCCTGGAGAAGACCCTGATGCTGGGAAAGATTGAAGGTCAAAGAAGACGGGGACGGCAAAGGATGAGATGGTTAGACAGTGTCATAGATGCAACGAACATGAAATTGAGCAAACTTCAGAGGACGGCGGAAGACAGGAGGGCGTGGAGGGAGCTGCTGGTCCATGGGGTCACGAAGAGTCGGACTCGACTGTGTGACTGAACAACAACAAGGGCTATCTTTCAGCTATGCTCCTGCAGAGTGCAGGGTGTTGGACTAGACGACCTGCAAGGTCCCTTCCAACTCTAACATTCTATGATTCTATGTTATGCATGTTTCTGAAAGTAAATGGATCACTTCATAGTCCCAATATGCTCTGATATTTAAAATCTTGAAGTGCCAACAGGACAAGAGCGACGCTGCCCATGAAATCATTATATCTTGGGAAAGCTTGTGGGCCAGCTCACAGTGGGAAATTTTGAAATGATCCCCTCCGGAGAGTATCGGTGCACGACATAATGTGTCTGCTGTATTAAATTTTTGCAGATAGACTGTTCTGTAATGTCCCTGTCTCCAGCAGTTACAAGTTTATGTCACACAATAAGCCTCCTGGATGAAGTGCTTTCATAACACATCTCAGCCAGGCTAAAATAAATATCTTTCACATACCAGTTCTTGCTTACATAACGTAAGCCTCTTTTTGTCCAAAGCTGTCCGATTCATCAGTTCGGCCTTCTTTTCGGCATTAGCAATGAAGGTCCTGAGATGAAAATACAGAAGCAATTTGGGGAGTCAGGAAGAGATGATATCTTCGTAACGATGGATAATAATTCTTCTGCAATGAGTACGTCTACACAGCACGGTGAACGAGCCCAACCCCCCCCCAAAGTACTTGCATCCATATATAAAAAATGGAGGTGCCTCTGACAGTTGCAAAGAAATGCAATTTTTATGATAATGTTGCGATAGAAAATTAATTAGTTCAGGGAGATACGTGGCTGTTTCGCTTTTTATCCTCTGCGCGTGATAGAGATTTAAGCCACCGAAGGCGTCTGCGTACACATTGACCTTGCACATTTCTTCTATTTCATATTCACAAGAGATGTCACTGATTATTTCCACTGTATATTATGTTCTTCTGACAATTCCAGCAGACTAGCAGGAAAAACTTCTAACAAATTACTGCAGTACAAGCAATGGAAATGGAACTGAAATGATTTCATTGCGTGAAGTTGGTGGAACCTAAAGCTGTGGAACCTCTCTCAGTGCTAACAGAACACCAAATTAAGTAAGCTGCGGTTTTACCTGCTTCCATTCATACCAGTTTCTCTGGATCTACCTGTAGGGTTGCCAGCTCTGGATTGTGAAATTCCTGGAGATTTGGGATGTGGGGTTTGGGGCGAGGAGGGACCTCAATGGGGTATAGTGCCACAGAGTCCACCCTCCAAAGCAGCCATTTTCTCCAGAGGAACTGATCTCTATCATCTGGAGATCAGCTGCAATTCCAGGAGCTCTCCAGCTACCACCTGGAGATTGGCAACTGCCAGGACCCACTGCTTTAACACACACACACACACACACACACACACTTATTTGCATGTGTTCTACCATGCTCCCAGCTACACACACTGCCCAGGGCCTCTGGAAAAAGGGCTCCATGCAGTGGTGAGCATAGGCAGTGGGAGAGCCCATATAAGAAGGCAGGGTATGACACACAGACAGGTGGGAGGTATGCGGTGGGGAAGAAGAAAGAGGGTGTGGGGGTAGGAAAGCGGAGGGGGCCCCTCTGCCTGGGCCTCCTCAAAACCTGGCCCTGTACAAAATCCACCACCTGCTTATATAGTACAGGGGTCCCCAATCTTTTTGAGTCTGTGGGCACTTTGAGAATTCTGACAGACTATGGTGAGTACAGCCACAAAATGGCTGCTGCAAAATAGTTGCCTCCGGAGGTGAGGCCAGCCACAAAATGGCTGCCACAGCTTACCTTCAGTTACACAGTGAAGGTCCTTGTGCTTTGGCAGTGGCTGCACAGCCAATCAAATCTCCAAGGTCCATTCAGAAGCCTCGCTGGGCGAAAGCTCCACCTGACCCCACCCACTTTTTAAGCACAAATGGGCATGAGGAAAGGTGCCAGTAGGTGTCACAGTGCCCATGGGGACCGCTTGTCTAGTAGATGTCGTTCTTACCGGCTTTGGCTGATAAAATCATTCAGAGTGGACCTCATTTTCTCCTCAGACGCAAGCTCAGAAACCTTGATCAGATCTTTCACTTGTTCTAAACCTTCTTCCTAAGAAGAAAGATCAGTTATGCAAATGACATAAAAAGCCACTAAACCCAGAGGTGCCTGAAATTGCTGCGATTAATAGAGGGAAAAGGCTAATCAGTATGAGTGGTAAACAGTAATTGCTACCAACTAATGGCATGTAGGATTCATTTTTAACTGAGAAGTGAACTTACTAGTTCCTCAGTTCATTGCAGAGTCAAAGGATCCATTTTAATTAACTGGGAAGATGCCAGGGGAAAGTGTATTCACTGCTAATTGGCAAACAATCTATATCTCTTCTCCCCGATTTTTGACAGGGGCCATATTTTGAAATGGATAAGGGTAGAGAAAGGTTATCCACGTTGGCACTGCCCACTGATTCTCTCCCACGCAGGTTAAGAAAGTTCAAGGCTCTTTAATTTCCCCATGTGAACAGCGGTAACAGCTTGGGTAGAATTCTCCCCTTACTGATACAAATAATGGTGTGAGATAAACCTTTAAATGAAGTCACTCAAGGAGTATCCCAGTGTAAATGATGGCAGCAACTAATTCCCATCAGGACAAATTCATTGATTTCTGGTTACTGGTTAAAGAAGAAAGAACGCACAGAAGCCCAAAGCCAATGTGGTGTAGCAGTTAGTTGCATCGTAACCCACCTTGAGTTTCTGTAAGGTAGAGGGGTGGTTAAAAAATGTTTTTAATAAACAGATAATAAATAAAATAGCTGGACCTGTGAGGCCCAGTGTCAGATCTTCGTTCACACTGAAAGTTCCTTGGGTAACCTTGGGCCAGGCAGTCACTCTCTCTCCCTCTCTCTCTCTCAGCCTTATCTACCTTACAGGGTTGTTGTGAGGGCAAAATGGGAGAATGAACCATGTACGGCATCCTCAGCATCTTGGAGAAGGGGGAGGCTAAACATGAAATAGGCAAAGAGAGCAGAAACGTAACAGAAGGCAGAAATAACTGAATCATAGGGCATTTTATTCACACCCAAGGCTTCTGAAATATTTACATTATTCTACAGAGGGAAGGCCATAGCTCAGTAACAGAGTGCCTGGTTAGTGTGCAGAATGCCCCAGTTCAATCCTCTTCCTTGACAACTACAGGATCTCATGCAAGAAAGCTAGGAAGGACTTCGATAAGAGGTCATGGAATGCTGCCACTAATCAGAGCAGACAATATTGAGCTAGATGGACCAACAGCCTGACGAAGGCAGCTTCATACATCCAACCACTTAATAGGTGTTGTACTGGAAGAGGGACTGTCGCTCAGGAGTAGAGCATCTGCTTTGCACGTAGAAGGTCCCAAGTTCAATCTCCGGCATCTCCAGTTGAAGAGATGTTAAGTAGGAGCTGTTGGGAAAGGCCTCCTTCTGCCTGGTACCCTGGAGAGCTGTTGCCGCCCAGAGTAGACAATACCGAGCTAGAGGGGTCAACTTCATAAGCTTCATATACTCAACAGAGAGTGAAGGAAAGGCATATGTTATGCAAAAGAGCATTCTGGCCAACGTTGAACATACCATCACACTACAAAAAGGGACTAAGGCAAGCACTGCTTTAAAGTCCCAGGTGTGCAAACGCCCACCCAAACCCTAGCAACTGGTTTTGTGAGGCTGGTGTCTGAAAGACACATTTTTGTGCAGTGTGTGAGTTCCTCGCACTCCAATATTCCAGCAGACTTACCAGCAGATCCGCCATTTTCTCAAGGGTATTCGAAAAATATAACCGGAAGGTCTGGCCACCCCAAAAACTCTTGATATAGACACAGGGCTTCTTCTCATCATAGGGCAAATAGTTGTAGTTTCTGTTGAGAAAGGTAAGACACTGTGAGTAGTCTGGAATTCCTGGGCACGAGCTTCTGAAAGGAGGCAATGTGCACAGTGGTATGAATGAAGCATCAGTTTGGTGTAGTGGTTAAGTGTGCAGACTCTAATCTGGGAGAAGCGGGTTTGATTCCCCACTCCTCCACTTGCACCTGGCTGGATGACCTTGGGCAAGCCGTAGTTCTGATAAGAGCTGTTCTTGAAAAAGAGCAATTTCTGTCAAGAGCTCTCTCAGCCCCACCTACCTCACAGGGTGCCTGTTGTGGGGAGGGGAAGGGAAAGGAGTTTGTAAGCCGCTCTGAGACACCTTTGGGTATTGA